GCTTTCTTGGTGGCCGCGCGAGCCGATAGCAACTACAATGATATTCTGCGAGATCTTTCGCAGTTCAGGCGGGCGAGGGAATTGATGCCCTCCAACTCATGCGTGTCTGACCAACAACACATGGCCAGGGCCGCGGCCGCGACGTACAAGCCCTGCGGGGTGACCTGGCCAGTATCCGCGGCCAGCTCAAAGTCATGCCTGAACGTCTTCAGCAGCTTGGCGGTGTTAGCCTCCAGCGACGCGGCATCCACGCTCTCCAAGTGCAGCGCGTGCTTGGCGAGACCTCCCCATGCCCCCATCTCTCTCTATCTCTCTCGCCCCTCCTCCTCCTCCTCCTCCTCAGTCCTCCTCCTCCTACTCCTCCTCAGTCCCCCTCGTCCTCCTCTGTCCTCTCCCCCCCCCCCATCCTCTCCCCAACTCCCCCCTGCTTGCCGCCTGTCGCCCTTTTTCCCATGGTGTCGCCCCCCCTCCGCCGGGCCCGCGGCGAGCGACTGAGCGCGCCCGGGCGCAGGGCATGGTGGGCGATGGGGGCATGAGATATGATGGGGACGGGGAGGGGAATGGGGAAGAGAATATATGACATGGGAGAGGATGGAAGATGCGACGTGCATGGAGGCAGAATCCACCCATATCTCCCCCTTCTCCCATCCCCTCCCCCCCCCTCCCCTATCGGACGTCGTCGATGGTCGCGCCTCGTGCTTGGAGACTCGTATGCAAACCAGCACAATGATAATGGAAGTGCAAGAAGATGCCGTTGAACCCTCCTGTAATAGCTGCAGGCGCAATGACATATGAGGTATACGCCAAGCTCGACATATAGCGGGGCAAGGCTAATCGGCCACCCCTCGAAAGCGCCAACCCAGTCGAACGTGCACAGGCATTTGGACCACTCCAGGAATATCTTCCAACCCTTATTGCATACCAGTTGCCCCAAGGTGCCCCCATCGCATATGATATCTGAATCCTTCAAGCTCTTCTGCAACGCGGCCTGGGACGACAACAGCGGCCCCGATGCTAGATTGGAAAGTCTGACCGTGACCCAAAACGTGTCGTCGTGAATCGCTCGGGTCGCGTCTCGTTTCCAGCGGCCCATTTTGACTGCGCGTTGCTTCTGAGACCCGACCCTAGGATCGCCAGCGCGCCCCCCGGCAGTAGCATCCGCGGGATCTGGACCGCGCGCTGGCGCAGCAGCAGCAGCGTGAGCCCTGCGCGCCTCGGTCGCACCGCATTTACACTTGACCACAGAACTGAACACACCCTCAATCAAATGCTATCGGCACTTATAACGTGTCGTTGAAAAGAGCTGACGGTGCCCCACCGCCCAGAGCAAACGCGCTCTGGCAAATGCTTGGCATGTTTCAGAGCGCTTGGGGCACCGCGCTGATCCACCCAAGCTTTGAAAATTGGCTTGGCGTTGTCGCGCCGCAAAATGTTCAGCTTGGCCAACGAGGCGTAATAATGCCACCCAGGCTTATCAGGCAGTCTGGACTGTAGGAATTCATCCGCACGAGACAAGGCCGAATTGCGAATCAAACTATGGGCGTGGTGCACGCAACCAACGTCGACAAAGACCAAGTGCTCATTCTCGCTCATCTCGTTTTTCAGCACCGACCGAAATGTCACCTCCCTTGCCAATTTGCTTGCTTCGCCCTTTATCTTTCCCTCACTGTCCCTCGCTCCCTCGCCTGACGTCGCTGATGCCTCTCGTCGTCGTCGTCGTCGTCACGGTCGTCGTCGTCGTCGTCGTCGCAGTCGTCGTCGTCGTCGTCGGGGCTCGTCGTCGTCGGTCGTCGGCGTCGTCGTCGTCGTCGAGGGCCGCGGCGGCCGCGGGTCCGCGCCGGGCTCGCCGCTGCGGCGCCCAGCGACGAAAGAAGAAAAGTTGGGTGTTGACGGTGTTGCCCAAAGTGCCCATGGCCTAAGGCGTTCCCAAGAGTTCCAGGCGGCGCCCAGAGCACCCGCCACGAGACCCGAGATGGGCCCCAGGGCCCAGGGGGGGTCCATAATTAATGGCGCGACAAATTGGGGGACGGGACACCTTGGGCCAGGGACACCCTTGGCCACCACCACCCCCCACAAAAGGTCGGGGGCGCCCACGCAACGTCCTCCTTCCTCCACCTCCCTCCCTCCTCCTCCTCCGCTCATCCTTCTACCCTTTGCCCCCAATCGTCCTCGTCATTCACCTCCCCCCAGCGGCTCGACACTCGGACACCCAGGTCCTCCCCTCCACCTCCTATCCCCCTCTGCCTCACTCCTCCTTAAGCCTTCTTCTACTGCTCCTCATCCTCCTCTCCTCCTCCTCCCCCCCATCCTCCTCAGATCTCCATGCCCCCTCCCGGGTGGCCCTGCCCGCCCAACCCACCCGGTCGGGCCCGCCATCCGAGCAATACAAGAGCACCCTGAAGTTCACGGCAATATCAGGTCTTGCAATGCGCGGCCCCTTAGAAAATGAACTCCACGGCGCCCCGGCAGCCTGGGGCACCTTCCGAACGGTCATGCACGCACCCTTACCACTTCCGTCTTTAACCACCTGTAGGTCAAGAGCTCGACGCATACTCGGCGAGAAACACATGCTACTTCTCAAGGAGTCCTCGCCATGCTCAAGAGCGCCCCCAATAACATACCATGATGCACATTCCGTGGTCATCAGTTTTTGTTTTTGCCACACCGTTGAATTGGTGGCGTCAGATCGTGATCTGTGTATCGCGAGGTTCGCTATCACGGGGCTGTCTGGGGCACTACTTTGCATTCTGGCATGGTGTGCCTTGAGCTGCTCAATCATAGATTGTTCATTATGGTGGTGAAACAACCAAAAAGAAGTAACCAACTTCGCCCCAAAGTCAGCCTCCGCGCGGCAAACGGTCTGGTGGGAGATCTCTTTCAATACCACAGCGCCGAAACCCGTTGCTGACACATTGCGCAAGTTTCGCCGCAGCGCAACCGCATTGGACCCCGCCTCCGTAAGACGCACATCCTTCGGGCCCCGGGCAACCACCAGGAAGTTGTTCTCTTCGGAACCCTTATGTTTGGCAAGCTCTTTTTGATAGACAGCAACTGTTTTCACATAGGTTGTCCTTTCGTGCTCCAATGCTTTCCTGAGCGACATGTTCTCTGCCTGTGAGTCCACCAGTTGCTGGTCCCGAAATCTCAACATCTGAACCGCCGTTTCAAGACTCAAATTCTGATATAGTTGAGAAACGATCGCCTGTGTACCGAAAGTCCGTGAAACAACACTGCGGGCCCTCCGGGCATCGGGCGCAGGCAATGGCACCAACGACGTCGGGCCTGGCAACGCCAGAGGCAGAGCTTCGGGCGCCGATGGTGCGGCCATTGCTGAGGATGCCACGTGGGTCAGAATGTATTCCCATGGCCGCCTGGCTGCTGCTGCCCAAGGTATGTTGAGGATATCGCCCATAATATCAATACAATCACTTGCGTTGAAGTGCCCGCGAGGATTCAACCAACCCTGACCATGCTTGCGCAAAACGCTCGCACAATGCCTATCTCCAACATTGATCAGCCCAGATATAAGAAGCGGCATGGAATCACGAGAGATATCTAGACAACCATCGTTAAACAAAATGTAAGACGGCCCAGCAACTGACAACTGCCGAGCGATCGACACAGGGAGATGTTGCTGCATCCCGAAGCTGGCGTGGGCCGTGAATGCGCGCACGCATGAACAACTGTTGCTATAGATCCCACTATCGCTCTCACTATCGATCCCACAATCGATCTCACTATCGATCTCCTTCGACCGATCTCACTATAACGTTCCAACTCATCACGCGCGCGAGCACCGCATATGTTACTGCACGCGCGCGCCCCGTGGGTTATCAGTTAGACAACTATGTATGCACACAAATGAGACAGCGGTGCGTGGGCAAGGAACAAGCTGCGCCACGCCGAAAGCTCCTTCACACATCTCCGACATACCTAGACGAAATGCGTTGCTTAACAGGGCGCGCCGCGCCTCGCCGAGAGCCCCTCCTCATATCTACATCGATCCAGATGTCAACATGTGGTTTTCGAAATTGAACATCATGCACACCGACCAACGCCCTTTCACTTATCTACATCCGCCCGAATGTCAACATGTCTTTTTAGCTGAAAAAAGCTGCTCCTCGCCGAATGCTGACAAAACAAACAAAGATATGTCTATGATGGTCTGCGCCCATCGGCGCTGTGGACCTACCCGCAGGAGGAAGAGGAAGAGGAGGAGGAGGAGGAGGATCGAGGAGGAGGATCGACGAGGATGATCGAAGAGGGGTCGAGAGCCCCCTTTGCCAGGGCGCCCCCCCCCGCGAGAAGCGGTCGCGGGGGGGGGGGGGGGGCGCCCCGGAACGTTGAAGACGTCAGAGCGCGCCCTGGCCAGGGCGCCCCCCCGCGACCGCTTCTCGCGGCGGGGGGGGGCGCCCCAGAGACTTGACTTGAGGAGGTGGTCAGAACGCGCCCTGGCCGGAGCGCCCCCCCCCGTGACGCGCTTCTCGCGGCGGGGGGGGGCGCTCCAGAATCCAGAGAGGAGGATCGAGGGGGAGGATCGACGGGGATGACCGAAGAGGGGTCGAGAGCTCCCTTTGCCAGGGCCCCCCCCCGAGACAGCTTCTCGCGGCGGGGGGGGGCGCCCCGGAACCTTGAGGGGGATGTCAGAACGCGCCCTGGCCAGGGCGCCCCCCCCGCGACCGCTTCTCGCGGCGGAGGGGGGCGCCCCTGAGACTTGAGGAGGTGGTCAGAACGCGCCCAGGCCGGAGCGCCCCTCCGCGACCGCTTCTCGCGGCGGGGGGGGGCGCTCCAGAATCCAAAGAGGCGAGGGCGGAGACGAGGCGAGGACGGAAGCGAGGCGACGACGGCGGCGACGGCGGCGACGGCGACGACAAAAATACAACATATAAGTACATACAGATGTATAAAATTACTGCATGTAAGTACATGCAGAGGTATGCAAATTAAAACGTCGCGTCGATTCTGGACGGGCTGGCGGGGATGCGCGGAGCACCAATACTTTCCCACCACAACTGCAGACCCCATTGTCGAAAATCAACGGCTCCACAAGGAGCACCTCTGCGCAAGCATTCAAAGAGCCCGAGCCTAGCAACGGAACCCCTGGCGACGTCGAGCTTCAACTTCGCCTCCGGCGTCTCGCAGAGCATCGCAAACGCCGATGGCTCTCGTTGGCCCCGCGCGCGCTGACCGCAGCGCAGTGGCTGACTAGCCCAGCAGCTCGGTTCGAAGTTTCTCCGCGCCGGCCTTGGACAGCTTGCGCTTCTCGATCTGCGACATGATGTGGTGCATCATATTCAAATGCGTATTGCTCTGCTTCTCGGTGGTCTCCGCGACCAGGCGCATCTTCGCAGGGCTGGACTTGGCGTTGCCGACGATGCACGCCCGCTTGGGCGAGGCCGCATTCACAATGCGGACCTTCGTGAGAGGCTCTGTCCACCACGACTTGTCACCAGTGACCGCTGCCTTCATGGGGGCTGCCACCCTCGCTGCCTTGATGGGGGCCATCGCCGCCGTGGCCTTCGCAACCTCGGCGACTTTGCGCTTCTTGGCAGCGCGAGTGGCGAAACCAACCTGCTCGGCCAAATGGGTGACCGTGCCTTTGGTGTCTTTCAGCAGCTGCAAGAAGCCGAATCCATCTGCAATGTCCAAAAAGAGCGTGGCGCAGTAGGTCGCGCCCGCAGGGGCCGCCTGCGGAGCGCGCCGCGCATCGCAACCGCCCCGCCCCGCACTGGCGCCCAGGGGTGGGGTGGGGGGGGGGGCTGAACGACGTCGCAGTCGCCGTCGAGGTCGTCGTCGTCGTCGTCGTCGTCGCAGTCGCGGCGGCCGTCGTCGTCGTCCGCCCTCGTCGCCCCCCCCGCTATTCAGATGTTCCAGGCCCCCAGTGGTGGCCGACGTCGCGGTCGTAGTCGTTGCCGTCGCCGTCGTCGCAGCACCGTCGCCGACGACGACCTCGAGGGCGACTGCGACGACGATGTCGTTCAGCCCCCCCCCCCGGCCCCTGGGTGCCAGCGTGGCGCCATAATGGCTACCGACCACAATCCCTCCGCAATGCGCTGGCCTGGGCATGGCTCGTCGCCTCCTCGGCCCTGACGTCGGCCGCCGCCTCGGCCTTGACGTCGGCCACCGCCTCGGCCTCGACGCCGGCCACCGCGGCCTGGCCGACGTCCTCCGCCTGGCAGCCGCCGAAGAGGAGGAAGTCGTCGTCGTCCAAATCGAAGTCCTCCTCAAGGTCGTCTCTGATCGCCTGCTGCCGTAAGCCACGGGTCGTCTCCATCCCGTTGAGGAGCTTCCCGGCGTTCCTAATGGCGCGGCCTGGTACTGCACTGAAAACGCCCCTAAACGGATCCCACCTGCTCGAGAGCACCTGCGCGTCCGCAACCATCAGCCGACACTTGTGGCTCAGCACGGTGGCCGCCTGGTCGACGTTCTGTTTGAAATGCGACCTCGAACTGCGAGCCTTTAGGACGCTAGCAAAAGCACGACCGAAAATCGTCGTGCTTCACGTTGCCGTCACCCTTTGTGCTGAATCGCGCGAGCATCTTGAGCACCTCGTAGCTTTTCGCGATGGCGCGGGGCTTCGGAAGGTTCCGATTGGTCGCAGGGCCCGTCCTGTGCATGTACTCTCCGAAGCCGAAGAGCTTCAGAACGCGACCGTCGACCTCGTCCTCAGGATTCACGTTGGCCTCGATGTAGGCGGTCATCGCCCTGCCCAGGCCAGCGACTTCCACGGCGCCGATGGGGCCGCGGCGGGGGCGCCGGCCTCGCGGCGCGGCGCTGGAGGGGGCGCCGCGCCGATTAAAGTTCGCGCCAAAACGGCTTCACCCTCACGCGGTTGCGGTCTCCGCCTGCCGCTGTGCTCAACATGTAAGGCGAGGGCGCAGTGCCACTGGGCGCCGACGCTAACGTAGGGGAGGGTGCAAGACCTGATGGCGCCTGCGCCGGGGCAATGGACTTAAACATGAGGGAACATGGCAACGATGCAAGACCCATGGGCGCCAATTCTAGAACATCAGGCATCCGACGCGGTCTTAGGGCATGCAGAATAATCAAACACGCAGGGGCCGCCATTGCACATATGCGGCTTTGCACCGCTTGTGTTTCTAGCTGGTCACACGCGCCGACGACGATCACTGACTGGCTGCGGCATCGCATCCCTGGAAGGACGCGCAGGCGCAATGCTCAGCCTATGCACGCAGCATTATACACTGCAACTGTCATCGTCGTCAGACAGGGCCCCCCGTCAACTCAGTCGATGTCGACGCGGATGGCCACCTCGTCATCTCCCGAGGCGCGTTCTGACAAGGACCTCGAAGCGCGTGGCCCAGCGGTGGCGACGAGGCCCCGACCGCATGACCCGAGCACGTTGGTAAAACTTCGGCCTGCGTCCTACGGAGCGCGTCGCGCGCAGATTGCGCGCTCGCGATGCCCTCCAAACTGTCGAATGTCATCGCGGTGCTCCGCTTGCGATTCCCCCTGCAAGGCGATGGGTCGGCGGCAGCAGCAGCGGCGTCGGAGCGCCCCACGAGGGCCCCCAGTCGGGCCAGGGGGGCCCTCCAGATGGCGCCCTGCGGCGCCAGACGGGCCAGGGGGCCATCGAGACAGCCCGAGATGGCTCCGACATGGTCCAAGACCAAGAGGCCCCCCAAAAGGTCTCCAAGAGGGCTTCGAGGAAGGCCCGAAGAGACCACGGCCATGGATGTGCCTTTGTTCGCCCAGGGAATGTGGCATTTGCTTCTGTCAGGCCTCACGAAGGATCTGGGCGGCCCAAGAGCCCCCAACAATCGCCCCAAGATCGCCCAGGGCGCAAAATCGGCAACGGATGCCGAACCACGGAACGCAATGCTAACGTGCAAACGCAATGCTGCACCACACGGGTTGGCCGCCATGCTACGCAGAGCAATGCAGCGTCACGCAGTGCCGTGGCACAGGAAGTGCCAATGCTATGCTACGCTGCGCTGTGCCCCAGCCTGCCGCGCGCTGCTCCGCAAGGCCACCCGCGCGAGGCCACGGGCGGGCGAGTGGGCCGCCGACCCGCGGGGCCATCGGGGCGTGAGTTGGCCGCCCACCCACGCGGTGCCATAACGGAGCAAGTGGATGGTAGTGGTCGTCGTCGTGGTGGTCGTGGTGGTGCTGGCGGTGGTCGTCGTCGTCCTGGCCGTGATCGCCGCGGTCGTGGTCGCGGTCGTCGCCGTCGGCGTCGTCGGCGCTGGCCGCCGACCCGCGCGGGGCCATCGGGGCGCAGGTGGGTTGCCTACCCTCGCGAGCCCGGCGACGGTCGCATCGCCGAGGACACCTTCGGAATTATGATAAGCATCGGATGTAGGCAACTGTGGCCCTAGCGGTATCTGAGGGGATCCACGAGGGGAGATGCATTTTCGAGATGGCCGCCGGATCGGCCGAGAGCTGTGGCACCCGCCTCCGCGACATCAGCCAAAATGGCCGAACGCTCAGAGCGCAGATGACTCCGGACACCGCGCGCATTGCTGCAGCTCCCAGCTACTGATCAAGAACGGCAATCACTTCTCAGTACTGCATGTGCCATGCTGGACGCCCGTCCACGAGCTGGCCGAGTCCGTCTTCGACTCGCGCGGGCTCTCCTGCAAATCCGCGAGGTCGGCGTGGTCCTTCATCTTCTGATGCTTCTTGGCGTCGGCCGCCGCGTGAGGCTTCTGCGCGCGCTCGCTGCCCGCGTGGACCTCGCCCTCGCTGCGCTGGTTCGCCACGTAGTAGCCGCGCCGTCGTCGCCGCGGGCGCCGTCGTCGTAGGTGCCGCGCTCGATCGCTCGCCGCTGCTTCGCGGTGTAGCTGGCGCCGCCGTCGCACGCCATGCGTCCGACAGGCCGCGCCACGTTGACCATCAGCGCCCAGTTCTCGTTGATGGCCCAGTCGCCCGGGAGAAGCCGCTCCATCTTCGGGGACTCGTTATGCTTGAACGACTTCTTCCACTGGCCGTCGCGGCGCACTCCACCAATCACTAGAACAGAGCTGCGTCGCCGAAAGGGGCGCGCAACGGGCTCAATGACTGCGCCAACTCTTCTTTGACCGATTTCGCATCTGGAAAGCGCGGCCAGGTGCCGCGCATGCTGATCGGGAAGAACATTGGCATCCAGCTCCTCATGTCATCGAGCCAGACCCAGCGTTTCGCCTTGACCACGCCCGCATCAACAATCAACACCTCCCTCATCGCGAGCCCGAGGACTAGGCTGGGTTCACGGAGTGGGCGCGCGAGGCGAAGCCGAAACAGGATGCACCGCAGAGCTCAGAAACGGCCACGGACGAAACGGGGTGCCATGCAGGGCAACGCCGAGCCACGAAACGCAATGCAATGCAGGGCAACGCTGCCCTATGCATTTGAACGCCGCGCTACAGGAATGAACCGTGCTATCTTGCGCTACGCTATGCTCTATCGGTACTATGATGCGCTACGCTATGATACGCTACGGTAAGGCTGTACTCAACCACGCAGCGCTACGATATGCGCAACCATGCCGCTATGCTACGCTATGCTCAACCAAGGCGTAAGTGGGCCACCCACGCAGGTGTCGTCGTGGTCGTCGTCGTCGTCGTCGTCGTCGCCATCGTGGTCGTCGTCGTTGTCGTGGTCGTGGTCGTCGTCGTCGTGGTCGTGGTCGTCGTCATCCTCATCGCCGTCGTCGTCGTCGTCATCGTCGCCGTCGTCGTCGCGGTCGCGGTCGCGGTCGTCGTCGTCGTCGTTGCCCGCAAGGCCGACGCAGGGACATCGGGCCGCGACTGGACCGCCGACCCGCGCGGGGCCACAGGGGCGCGAGTGGGCCGCCGACCCAGGCGGGGCCACCGGGGCGTCAGCTGAAGGGCCTCCGACCCACGCGGAACCATCGGGGCGTGAGTGGGCCGCCGACCCAGGCGGGGCCATCGGGGCGTTAGCTTAAGGGCCTCCGACCCACGCGGCGCCACAGGGGCGCGAGTGGGCCGCCGACCCAGGCGGGGCCATCGGGGCGTTAGCTTAAAGGCCTCCAACCCAC